AGAGAGAGAGAGAGAGAGAGAGAAAGAGAGAGAGAGAGCGGTCGGTGAAGGGGAAGAAGAGAGGGAGGGATAATCTCGAAGCTCGGCCGTCCCACGTTGGCTGCAATTTGTCTTCGGGCGTCGGATAAAACGTCAACGGCGGTGTGTTATTTGTAATTTGGATAACGGTACAGCCGCCGCTGCCGCCGCCGCCGCCAGAATCGCGGAAGGCATTTGTCAGCCGCTCGGAGTCGCTTTGAGGCGAGACGTAACCGGCAACCTAATATTTCGCCGAAAGCACCACCGCCGATCGTCTCGTCGTCTTTTCCGCGACGAGTCGGCCGAAGTAGCTCGACCGATCGGCGAAATATTAATCAAAGGGGCTGTGTGTCTTCTTCCCCGTGTGCGCACGCGCGCGCGCGCGCGTCGAGATCACTTGATGGAGTGCGCGCGAGGGTTGCTCAACAATTCGATTAGGGATAATATCGGCCTCGAACACTTTGCGCGAGGGGAACGACGGAGGGGGCGGATTACGCTCGAGTCTCCTCGTCGCTCTCTCGACTTTGACGGTCTGTTGCGCTGTCACGAGGAAACGATCGCAGCGAGAACGTGTCGTTTATCCGCTTGCCGCTCGTTACGAGTTTTACGTTTCAACGTCGCGCATTGACAACGATGATTTCGGCAATCAATTAGTCCGTAGCAATCATTCATCGGTCTTTGCGTCGATCCACTTTTTTTTCCCCACGTCGCGCGTATCGGGATACACGATTCGTTAATTATTCGTCGGGACGATAATTAAAATTAATTCCCCGACGCGTATCACGGCGAAGCAGTTGTTTGGTACATTTGCATAATGGAAAAATGTCTGTACAATAAAATTCCACATTCCATTAAGCTCGAACGCGAACGCACGCACGTGTATGTGTGTGTGTGTGTGTGTGTGCGCGCGTATGGGTGTGTGAGAGTGTGCGTGCGGTTAGTAGCGGTGATTCGGCATTTAGTTATTTTCAATCTGCCCCGAGTGTGCGCGCGTGCACGCCGGACCCGAGAGCAAAAATATTAACGAGAGTGCTCGGAGCGCCCCGTCATCCTCGCAAATCTCTCTGCGCGCCGGCAAGAAGACCGTAGGCCTCGTTCGCGCACAAGTCGCCTTGTATGCCTCCTTTGAGTCGCTTTTCGTCTCTTTCCTCCCTCTCTTCCGTCAGGGGCGAGTAAGACGGACTCTGCTCGCGCGGAGAGGCTCGCTCCGCCGATAACGATTAATTAGAGTAGCATCCGCCGAACGATGCCGGCCGCTCGCCGGCGAATAGTTTTACGTTGCTTGATACACGCGAATTATCTCTCCCGTCGAGACTGAATCGAGAAAGAGAGAAAGAGAGGGATGGTTGGGAGACTCGATAAAAGAGGAGAAGAATAAAAAAGATAAATATCCCGGCTGTTATCCGGAGCCGACGTTTTCGCGTGGATGTATAATCCGGCCGGGGGATAATTTGGCGAATCTATCGAGCCGTTTCGAGGGATCGCGCGGAGGAAGTCGGTGCAGCGGCCGGCGTGACCGTCGCGGTCGCCTCGGGTTGAGAGCACCGGCGCGGTTAACCACGGTAACCGCAGCGACCGGTTCGGCGGAGCCGCCTGCCGGCACGGCGCGGCGTGGTGCGGTGCAGCGCCGGCGTGGCGTCTCGCTCGTCGATGCTTTTCGCGGCATATGGCGCTCTCCCTCTCGTCCAGCTCGCATTCCTCCGTCTCCGTCGCTCTCGCGCGCAACCCAACGCTCCTCCTCGCGCGTTTCCTTCCTTCCAATTCTCCTGGCCGTTCGGTGTACACCGGAGCCGAGTTGCGCCGAACCGCGCCGAGGACACGTAGAGGTATCCACGGTGAACGAACATGCAAAACGGCAGGGTAGGCAGGCAGGCAGGCAGGCAGGCAAGCAAGCAAGCAAGCAAGCAGCAAGAAAGCAGGCAGGCGAGTTGGCGAGGCGAGGCGGCTTCGCGTAAACCGCAGCCGACCAAGCGCGACCGACAGCTTCGCCAACACTCCGCGGCACTGCCTTATATTCCTTCTCGCCCTCGTGAAAACAAGATAAAGAGCCGGTGTACGAGGAGAATAGACGATGACGACGATGATGACGACGACGACGTCGCGCGTTGAATTGCGAGGAAAGCGCGCACGCGGTTCTTGGCGCGATGAACGGAACCTCGCGAAGGCGAGCTCTCTCTCTCTTTCTCTCTCTTTCTTCTCTCGTCGTGTATTTATTATATTTCATTAGGCAAATCTCTGTTCCCCCTCTGCTCGTTTTCTCGATTCTCTCCCCTCGGCACGCACATTGGTAGGCGCTAAGGGTACACGGGGAACGAGGCGACGCGCATACGCGTACGCGTATTACCCATCCCACGTTCCGCGAAGCATGACAATGGGCTTTTCTAATCCTCCTTTGGATTAAGGGTCGAAAGCGGGGATGGTTGCAGGGCGCTGCTCGGCCCGGTTCAGCTTGACGCGACGCGGTGCGCGGCAGCGACGGGGCGAGAGAGAAAGAGACCGAAAGAAAGAAAGGGAGAGAGAGAGCTCCAGGTAATGGGATCGACGTTTCGTTATGTTACTTTTCCATTCTCATCCTCTATACTCTAGTCGTCCCGGCCTCCTTTCCCGACCCATCCCACGCAACCCCGACTGCACCCAGCCTTCGGTGTCTCGGTTCGTAGGATCCATCGTACAGCCCTCTCCTCCTTCTCCTCCTTCTGCCGCTCCTCCTTCCCTTCGTCCTGCACCTCCACCTCCTCTCTTCTCTTTCTCCTCTTCCACCTCGCTCGCCCCCGTCCGTCCCGCCGCCCCTCCCTCGGGTCCGTGTTTTTCCTCGTGTGGCCCCCTATTTTTCATGTTTCGCTGCGGCTTCGCGTAGCACCTTTATTCAGTATAGGTACGTTCCTCTCCGTTGGGGCTCCGGGGGCGAGCGAGCGATCCGCGCGGACGGCACGTACGCGCGTCATCTGAAAAACTCGGCTGCGCCATTGGCCGAGGTCGCGTTTTCATTCGACTCTTTGCCCTCGCCGAGTCGATCGGCCGCGCTAAGCGCGCCGCGGTTGGCCAAGTGTCGGCCGGAGCCACATCGATTGGTCGAGGTAGCCGGCGCGATCCGCGTGGAGTCAGCGCCTTTACGAGGCGAGCGGGACGATAGCGGCAATCAAGTAGGAAACTGCTTGGGACTGTGTGCCGCGCGATATTCACATAGGGGCACCCCCTTAGCACACACAATCGCGCGTACAGGATGGTACTCGCTATACACTCACACACACATACACGAGACAGGTGTGTACACACGTGAAGGCACACAGATGCATACACACACACACACACACACACATATACAACAGAGGTATACATATTCCAGCTATATCGCGTACGTGCGCGTGCGTATGTGTACGTATCCTCCCCCTCTCTCGCTCTGTCGCTTTATGCAGCTACGTTGTATAGGGGTTGGGAAAACGGGTGGAGGCGCCATATTTGTGGTAGTGTGGGAAGTGAGGGAAATCACGAGTGGCGAGAGAGGCAGCCGGTCGACAAGCGGGAAACGAGGCGGGGGAAAAGCGAGGGAAGAGAGTAGAGAGAGAAGAGCGAGAGAGATAGAGAGAGAGAGAGAAAAGAGAGAGAGGGAGTTTACGCGGACATCCGTGTCAGCCCGGTGACGGCCATTTTGCGAAAAACTTTCGATTTGTTTGCACACGCCGTAGCGAACCCGGAGGAACGACTAATACCGACGCGTATGCTCGGCATGCGGTGGTGGCTTCGCGTCTCTTCTCTCCTTCCCTCTCTCCCGCCTTCCCTCTACCTCCCTCTCCATTTCTCTGTCCATCCTAGTTTATACTCCGACGCATCCGTCCACGACCGAAAACTTTTCGGTACCGGCGTCTCTCCGTTCGAGACTCGCAAAAATTTTAACCGCGGTCGTGGCACGATCGAGTAGTGTAGTAGTGGCATTGGTAGTAGTAGTAATAATAGTAGTAGTAGTAGTAATACGGTCGGTGCGGACGATGACGCATCCGACGTGCCGTGGGTCTTTAGTTAATCGACGACACTGTCTGTCTCGCGAGAGATTGATATTTCCAAATTGCCTAGATTCCAAAGGCGATCGAGAGCGCGCGCTCGGCAAACACGATTCGCACGCGGTGTCGCGACGCTGTCACCGCCGTTCGGTATATCGAGGCGATAATGCAACGGAAAAAAACGGAGCGGTGATCAACGTCGATAAACCCGATGATTGTGTGCGAGAGAGAAAGAGAGAGAGAGAGAGAGAGAGAGAGAGAAAGAGAGATAGGGGGAGATAAAGAGGAGAAGAGAGAGAAAAGACGTCGCGTCACCTTTTCCATATACGCTCGTGAAAAGAGCGAATCGGGAGCGCGACGTTTCGCAACGGCACCGTAAAATTAAAGTGCCGCCGTACGCGAAAACGCCGGTTGGCTACCGAAACGACGAAATCGGGACGTCGAGCCGCTTAATGACGATATAACTTGCTTCTGTCGGTATTACCATTCATCGCGGCCAAAGCTCGTGTTAAAAGGCGACCGTAAAGGCGCGCGCCAGACGATCGAAAATCACAACGGACGTCCTTCGCTGGGTAAAAGGTCAATAAAGCGGATCCGAGCGTACGTAAAAATGCGAGGAGTATGGCTTGTGAGAGAAAGAGAGAGAGAGAGTGAAGAGAGGAGACCAACGACGCGGAGAGTCCCGGTGAGAGGGACACGTAGAGAGCGGCGTTTTAACGAGCCGTGATTTTCGTGCTCGCCTTTTCGAGATCCTTACGTAACGCGACTTAATTGCGAAGGAGCTATCGCGCCGGTTAATACGAGCTTGGAGGAGACGAGAGACATTCGAGGGGATGCTTGGCGGCTTTAAACTCGCGCGGAGTAGTGGGATGCCGGGGCCGCGCGACGAGGGGCAAATCGTGGGGAAGAAGGAGGGGCGCTGCGGGACGGGTTCGGTGCGGCGGGAAGAGCGCGCGTAGGAGAGGGAACGCCATCCCCCTCTACTGATCCGTCTATCAGTCGCTTCGCGGCCGCTGCTGGGAGAGGTTCGCTTGTGTCGTTAACTCGCGTTTCGTGACGCACCTCTACTTTCGTCACGCCGAGTCTCCGTGAGTCGAGTCGGATCGAGTGTGCTCGTTTATACCTTCCTCTCTTTCTCTTCCTCTCTCTCTCTCTCTCTTTCTCTCTTTCTCTCTCGATCAACAAAATCGACCCGTCGCATCAATCGCTCACCGGCGGCTCATAGCCGTTTCGCTGACGCGAGGCAGACAGAAGGACGGAGAAGAGAAGAGAGGAGAGGAGAGACAAATAGCGTTTTCGAACGCGCGCGCGCGCGCGAGCCAAACGTTCACCCTCAGTATCGCGCGCGCCGTTCTCGCGCCTCTCAGGTAAACAACGAGGGAGTGCAGTGTGCCAGTGTTCTCGTAACGCGTCGGTGTTAACGTTCCCGCGACGACATCGCCGTTTGACGAGTAGGTGGAGAGGAGCGGCGGCGTAAACAGGCCGTAACAAGCGTGATACACCGGATACGCGAGTCGCAGCGAGACAATCTCGGCCGGCGTTTTTCCGCCACGAGACGAGGCACCGTCACAACGACGACGACCACGATCACGACAACGTCCGCGACGCGAGACTGGGGCGGTTTTTCCTGCCTTACCGACCGAAAAAAGGGCACGCCGCGGCGTCGCCAACACAAAGAGACACGACGGCGAGACGCGCGTTGCGCCTGAGGACAGCCCGTGTCGCTGGTGCGCGTCCTTTTTGACTCTCTCTTTCTCCGGATGAATGTAACGGCTGCCCTCACCTGACCCGTATCTGGAGCTGCGAGAGACAGAAAGGAGGGTGACACGTTTACACGCGCGTCGCCCAATGAAGCGGTAGTGGCGAATGGAGTGGAGATCGCGCCGATGGATTGTCGCCGAGGAAGGAAATCGGGCGTGGATGATCATACCGATCGTTGCGTTGCACCGGGACGTACGTCGCCGTACAACGCGTCATCGTCGTGAGTGCCGATCGGCTTCGTAGCGGCCACGCGATCGCGGTCGTTCGCATCATCGTGCGAGAGCGTCTCCGCTCGACACCTGCCCTTCTCCTCTTCGGAGTTTTGTTACCGGTTGTTGCTATTGTGTTTTATATTGTTGTTGTTGGTTGTTGAGGAGTAACAAGCCGCGAGCCGCGCGACATGAAGCGAAGTTCTCGCGCGCATTGAAAAAAAAGAAGAAAAAGTGAGTGTATCGATATACAGTGATATACACATAATACACACGCGCGCACACATACATACACACACACACACACACACACACACACACACGTATATATATTGGATTTCTTCTCTCCTGAACGCGCCAGTCGGTAAGCCACGGAGGAAGGATGTATCCTAGCGCCGGAATCAACGCAGCCGCCGTGGCCGCCGCCGCTGCCAGGCATCCGGTGAGTAACGGCGGTGTTTCGACTATCAGTAGCGACGATAATAGCAACGACGCGGCGTTTATTTGCAATAATGCGGAGCCGAGACGCACTGTCGGATGAATGACGCGACCGCGTGCAGTCGTGTAATCGCTAATTGCTGATCGAATAGATCAGACCGCATCGCTGCGCTGGGCGAGCCGGCGCGATAAACGACGCATAATTCTCGGAGCTGCTCACTTAAATCTTATCGTCTCGCTCCGAGAGATTGAGACAGACGAGAGAAGGACTGACATTCTCGGACTCTGCGAGCTTTTTCCGGCACGCGATAAAGTCGACCTTGCGTCGCGTCGACAGTGCGATTTCGCTCCGCGAAATGGCCGCTTCGATCGCCACTTCTTTTTCGAGACCGCGGCTACGCGCGTCCGGTCTATTTTACAGCACGTTGCATACTTAATGTACCGCCACGTCGCGGCGCGCCGGCGCGGACCGGCGCGGCTGGCACCGCGCGCGGCGATCTGATTTACGTCCGTAATTTACATCGCTGTTTAACCCCGTTAACCTCGTCCTTGATCGCGCGCCGCGCGTTTCTGACGTCGGTATTTTAATCTGCTTCTCTGGTTTCTCGCGGAAAAAGTCATCGCGTCGTTAGCGCGCGACTGACTCTAGTCTCTCCTTCTCTCTTCCTCTCTCTCTCTTATATTCAGTCAATCTCTCTCGCCTTTTTCTACCAATGACCGACGGAAAAAGCGTCCAACTTTTTTCGTGAGAGCGCTCTCGCGCTCGATTGCACTCCCGTTACTCCAACCGAGCGATTTGCACCTCGTAACACGATCCGTCGTAGACACTCAAGGTGTGCATTCCCCCCCCCCTCTCATTCTCTCTCTCTCTCTCTCTCTCTCTCTCTCTCTCTGACTTCTCGGGTTTCGCCGCGATCGGGCTGTCACGGGCGCGCGAATAACACGATTTCGATCGTCTGCGACGCAGGGTCTTGCTCGGCAGGGACGTCAACGACGGCGACGGCGCTTCGCGCCGCGATATCGGGTTTCGTTACTTGCTGAAATTTCATTAACGCACGATCGTCAGTCGTGGTCGTGCAGCGAGGAAAGGTGCGGCAGAGTTTTCGACCCGCGGATCGCGACCACGTGTACATCGGTGTGCACGTGCGATGCGCGTTGCAGACATTTGTTACTGGAATTTCGAGGTACAACTTCAGCGAAAACACTGTAAACGTCTCGATACATCGGATTGATTCGCTCACGTGTGTATGTGTGTATCGTAGCAATGTGTGCGTACACAAACGCGCGCGCGCGCTTATGCTGTCGGAAATTCGGAGGTACTCGCGGAACAATCGCATTCGCCATCGTCCAACGTTAGTCCCGCGGCTCCGTGCGAAAAGCGTTTCGCCACGGCACGTCGGAGTCGTTGATCCGTGAACCGAGCGAGGAGCTGTCCGTGCCCGCGGACGTCTGCGTTTAATGGCAGTGGTCGGAGGTAATAGCGACTCGGTTCTCGTCGCGCACGACTCATCGTCCAACTCGACTAACTCGGGTCGTCGTCGTCGTCGTCGTCGTCATCGTCGTCCACGTCGACGTTGTTGCGTAGTCCCGTCACGTCCTCGGTTTCGCGGTTTTCTTTCTAACGACGTAACGTCAACCCCGACCATTACACAGGTTATTAACGCCTTTTTTCGTCGCGACGCGACACAACTTGGCTCTCTTCTCTTCCCTTCCCCCTTTGGTGCGTACGCGTCGAGAACGGTTGAAGAGCGCGTAACGATGCGCGGCTTTAATGCCGAGGACAAACAGTTCTCTCGCGAGTCCGCTAATCGAGCCGGTTACGAAGCCGGCTCTCGCGAACGCGTGACTCATAGAAAGAGGCATTGTCGCCGCGTGTACCGGTCGCCGCACTCTCGTGCGCAACCGATAGACGCGAGAGCAGAAAAACCCAGGCGTCGTTCGCGCGCGCTGCTCCCAGCGGGCTCACCGCCGGAGTGGCATAATGAAAGCCTCGTCGGGCCCAACCCTAATAATAGGCGTTTCGCCGGATGTGGCGACGTGTTCCAGGTAGTAGATTGTAACACGTGGTGCGACGACAGGGATGGCCGACCATCGGATAGGTCGACCTTTTCATACGCTTACCGTCGAAAACAAAAACACGCGCCAAAACACTTAAGGTGTTTTTGCAGGTTGCGTTAAAAATTCCCATGAATTAATTTTGACCTCATTGTCTCTCACTCGAGAGAGGAGGAGAGAGAGAATTCACATCTCGTTGAAACAGCAGAAAATAGAGAGGCAAAAGTCAATCAAAATTCACGGTTGGTGATGGTTGGTTTCCGCTTTTCTACCAGCGCGAGTTTTGACTGGCTTTTGCCGTCTCGTTTTCTGCTTTTACGTTAAAGTGAGAATTTCTGCCCATCTTTCGTCCATCGGTATTTCGCGCTTTACGCGAGCGAATATTGCGGTCTCGAAGGTAGTTTGCGTAAGAACGAGGACCGTAATAATTAGTTATCGGCAAGGAACAGACAGAAAAGGACGGATGGTGTAAAGTGCTGACGTTAGTTAGCAGGGTACACGTTGCCGAACGTCAACGAAAGCGGCGTTATACACGCGCGCGCGCATTTTAGAGACCGGACTACCTCGCCGGGCCACCTCCCGTAAACTGCGGCGCACGTTTGCGCAGGACCCCCGATTCGGCAAATATTGATACTTTTAATCGGTCTGTTTGCGCCGACACGCTGTTCAAATGCGCCCGAATGTGCACAGCTGAAAAAACGCCGGCGCGCTCGTCGGAGCGCCGACGCGACCGGTCGCAGAATCCCCCTTCGTCGTCGTCGTCGTCGCCTTCGTCGTCTTTATACTCGTTTTCGTCCTTCTCATTCCCATCCCGCACGTATGCTGCGTTGATACTGCTTAATTAGCGATATGCTAATCTCAGATCGCACAAGACTCGAACGTCTTATCCTGTCTGCTAATGCGCGGCGCGCACGGGAGACACACAAAGCACACAGAAGTCGTTCCTCCGCGTTCACCACATTTTTTTTCGAAAATTCCGGAAGTGGCCGCAATTATGAGCTGGCGCGTGAAGAATTCCGATTCTCGTCTCGATAAGTGCGTGGTAACTCGCTACCGTGACGGGAGTTAATTGAATCCGAATACTCGCGTCGTATTGGCGATACTCTGCCACCACTCTCTTCTCTCTCTCTCTCTCTCTCTCTCTCTCTCTCTCTCTCTCTCGATGCAACGTTGAAATTCGACTCGGTGAAATTACAGGCCACCGCGGTGTATTCGCGTGCGCGATAAACGCGTAATGCGATGGATATATTCCGTGCAGGCCAACGTGGAAGGGAAAGGGAGGGGAAGTCCTGGTTCGGGGTCGGGCCGGTCCAGTCTGTCCCGTTTCATCTCGCCTCGGTAATTGCTCGTATTAAAATCCGAGAGACCTAACCGGCGTGGACGCGGCGGATCGCCGCTACGCTTCGCCGCGCCGAGCCACGCCGTACATACATACATACATACATACGTAGGTAGGTAGGTACGTACGTACGTACGTACGTACGGCCGGCAGCGCGCGTCGCGCATCGCTCGGAAATATGGAATCACGGTGATATCTTGAGCGTCACGTCGTCCATTATGCCGATGCGGCCAGTAAATTTCACGCATTATACTCCCATTATACGTTTCCTGGCCGAGCCGGATCGCGATCTCGTGCTCTCGCCCGACGTAATTACACGGTGCCGCTCCGCCGAATGGACGGAGGAACTGCCTGTTCTCTCTCTCTCTCTCTCTCTCTCTCTCTCTCTCTCTCTCTCTCT